GGACTTGTCCTCCTCAATGTCTATGGTGGTTACGGCCCTGCGAATGGATTGCACAAACGTGAATAAGGCTGCAGGAGGAGGCTTTAGAGGAGGATGGATTACCAGGTGGAGGCCTGAACAAAAAGTCCAGGGAGGTTAGGAAGGTGGTGAGAGCCAGGGAGGAGCCTTGAGCGGGAGAGGGCAGATGGAGGGCCGTTGAGCAGCGGACGGCCCGCAAGTCCGCAGCGGAGGCGTGGGGAAGTCCAACTCAGGTGGAGCCGACTGACTGAGGTAGCCCAGCAAGGCCGAATGGCCAATGGTCCACACTGGAATCAAGGGTGGTAGGAGTGCAGGAGTCTAGACGATGGGATGAGGTGGAGCAGAGCCATCCGAGGCCGAAGGCGGAGCCACAGGCTCCTCAGATCCAGGAGACAAAAACTTCCGACAGGCCCGAGCTGGGGCCCTGCCACTGAGAGGATGCGAAACAGAGGGACTGATGGGGGACGCAGATGACTGGAGAGCAGGAGTGGCTGAGGATTGAGGAAACTGAAGAAATGCACAAAATCCAAACAAAAATAACAAGTCTCTTAAGGCAGTTTGGAGAGAAGGCAGGAGAGGGAGGCTGGGCGGGACCAGCAGTTCAGACAGATAAACAGAATCAGGCGGGTTTAGGGGAAACAAATTCTCAAACTCTCCAAACTGAAATATAGTGTCTATATCCAGCAAACACTCACTCTCAGTGGTGGGAGGGTGGGCAGGGCTCGCATCCATACCCTCAAATTCCATGAGTACTCCCTTAACGCTAGATGAGAGAGTCGACACACACACCTGTTCGGACGGGGTCCTCTCTGGCTTGCTGTTGGCATCAGACTCTGTCACTCCTCCTGCAGATGGCTCTTCAGTCACAGCTGAGGCATTCTCTCTGTCTGCGGTGGGCTCAGATTGTCTCTTCTCGCAGCTGGATGGTGACTTGCTGGGCACTGGGTTGGAAGCTCAAGGCACAGCAAGTGAATGGCGGCAAAGACAAAACGGAAATTAAATGTGTTTATAGGACACACCACTTCTTGTTTTCTTTGTAGGTCCGGTGTTCTGTCACGGTTGTATGGTAATCACATGCACAACAAAGAAGATGAAGAATAATAGTCTGTCATAATCCACACAGGGTAACTCCAACATAGAGAAGGCAAACCAACACAACCATAGTAAAGACGACACCGGACAACTGAACTCACACAGAACTTGAACTTAAAAAACACATGATAATGAGACAAGCACACCTGAATATAATGACAAAATCAAATGAGTAACCATGACAACAAATGAACCGGTGCAAATAATGAAAATATAGTCCAAACAGTGAGTAATTGTGACAATATGTACGTGTATGTGTATATGTATGTATGTATATATATATATATATATATATATTAGTACTTTTAGGTAGATGCTAAATCATACAGAGTAAAGTAAATAAATAAATAAATATTATGATCATTAAGTCTTGACAACTTATGTTTTTACGTTTAAAATCAACTTCATCAAAATAGGCAAATTCAACTTTTTATAAGTTATGAAATTATTAAGTTGAAATGATTTGTACAACTAAGTTGATTAAAAATTTAAGGCAAGAACTGAACAGTGAAAATAGGTGAAATAGTTTTTTCAGTATACAATATGGATGTACTGGCAGCAGTCTGCTGCTTCCTCCGATGATCTCACATCTGAATATGAACTTATATTATATAATTTACAGTAGCCTAAGTATATTCCTCTTCAAATTCCGCCATGATCAAATAATCTGAACTGCTATCCACATTATTTATTCATTTTATAGCTCTGTACTATTAGTACTATGTCCACAATTGTGTCTATTTTTATTTATTCTAAAAAAATTTCAGGACAAACATCTGAGACAAGGTCCATTCTCAAATTAAATGTAGTTCATGAGCCATGAAAGAGCAACCCCTGAACAATGAAACGGCCCTCTGGCTTATGCTGATGACTGGTCATTTTCAGCATCAGGACATATAAGTGTTAACATGCTATTTTGGGCCTATATTGCTCCTGGCATACACAACATCAAAATCAATTCCCAGCATGGTCAAACAACTCCTGTGGTCAGCACACTCAAACACGGATTTAACAGGCATTCAGCAGCTAAGCAGAACATAAGTGGCCAGCTATCCACCCGCTTTGTGTGACGTTTCTTTACGATGGAGCTGGATGGTGTATTTTTCTCAATCAGAGGAGACAGCCATGTGGTCAGAGCAGAGGCACAGATGGAAGAGAGGGATGCTGGAGACCACGTCACTGAATCTCCCTGCTGGGAACTACAGGAGACTAACAGCCAAACCACAAAAAAAATAAAAAATAAAAAAAATAAATAAATTAGAAACACAAAACAAAACACCCCTGTCATGGGTTGCTACTGTGTAGCAACCCGTGACGACAGAGTTTCACAAAGAACAGTCTTTATTAATCTATACTGGGGAGAACACAGGGTAGCCAGGAGACACACACATAGCACGTAGATGTTTAACACTGGGCGCAGGACACAGGGAAACACAGGGCTTAAAGGTACAATATGTAAGTTTTCACCACTACAGGGAGCGCATTCAAAACAAACAAAGAAACAAAGGCGTAGTTTGATGACGCCGTGACTGAGTATGGAATCATGGGAGTTGTCGTCTTCATCCCCACAGCCGACGCAATCCAACGGGACTCAGGCAGAAATCATATTCATGGATAAGCTAATGTATTAAAGATTTATTAACATCGTAGTATGAAGCAGAGTGAGGCGGAAAGCCGTCGAAGCGAAACGAGGCCGCTGAAGCTATTGTTAATGAGAGACGAGAGTGACACACAGCTCAAAAGCAGCGGAGCTTTTATTATGCCACACTTTAGCACTTCCGCTCCTTCCGGTCGTGCGTATGTCGGGTAAAGCAGCGCTGTTTTATCATACTAGATAAGTTTGGAAGTTCTGCTATAATGCTACTCTGTGTGGTCGTCACCTGTCTTAATAAAACGCACAACATATTAAAGTGTCTTTGGTGTTTCCATGTTTTCTACAAAATAAAACCGGAAATCGAGGGTGTATGACATCAATTCCATGTTTTCTACAAAACAAAACCGAAAATCGAGGGGTTATGACGTCATTGGCAGACGACACAATGACACTATGGACACGCTCCGTGTCACTAGTTGAAATTGCGTATTTCTCTGGATTTAAACATTCTTCGAATCATTTGGAATAATGTAAGTGCACAAGTCTGCAAATTATATAACACTGTTCTAGTGGTTTTTGGATATTTTAATAAAAAAAAAAATCTTACATATTGTGCCTTTAAGTACCAGGAACTCAACGAGGGGTAACAGATGAGACACACCTGAATCAAATTAGCACAATCAGAACACGGGAGAAACTGGGTCATGGGGCAACTACACAATAACACAAGGACCATCCATGGGCGTGACATTACCTCCCCCTCCCGGAAGGCACGTCCACGCGCCTCATAACATCCAATGGGGAGGGGGGGGGGGGTGCTCTGGAGGCCTCTAGGGACAGGCTTACACGGGATGGAAGGCCTCCAGGGCGGTACCCGTTCCGGGACCCATGGCGGATCGGGCAGACTAGGGAGCCATGGCAGAGCAGGCAGTTCAGGGGGCCATGGCGGAGCAGGCAGACTAGGGAGCCATGGTGGAGCAGGCAGTTCAGGGTAGGGCTGCACCATAAATCGAAATGGAATCGAGATCGCGATTCGACAGAAGCTGCGATTGTCATGCGTATCTTTCAGTGAAGCACGGTT